TCTCTCTCTCTCTCTCTCTCTCTCTCTCTCTCTCTCTCTCTTCGTTTCTCTCTCCACCCCGGTCTCTCTGTATCTCTGTCTCAGATTCTGTCCCAGACTATCTCTCTCTCTCTCTCTCTCTCTAGATATCTCTCTCGATCTCTCTGCCTATCTGTCTGTCTGTCTGTCTCGCTCTCTTTGTCTCTCTCTTTTTTTTCCTTATTCCCACACAAATTAGTCCATCGTCAAACCAGACTTCTGGAAAACTGACTGAAATCACCCACCTGCCTCCCTTCTTCCCCGCCCATCCATTCTCTTCTCCCCTTCCTCTTCCTTTCCGTACCCCTTCCCTTCTTGACCGTTGCGATAGTCCATTCCACTCTTGAACCAATCGTTGATGCCGTTTGGGGCTCTCAGTCTTGGGCCAAACTGAGCTCATAAGTGCTCAATGTACATGACATGCTCGGCGAATAAGCTGTCCATGGCAAAACATTCACACATTTTTGCTTCTGTATACACTGCATATTTTCACGGGAAACGTGGGAAACAGTGCTGTCTTGCTGGAAGCACTTCAGTTTGTAACAGGCCCAGTTTATCACAGGCCTCGACTGTGCCCTTCAAGATGGAAGTTATCACTGACACTTTCAAAAAGAGAAGATCTAAATGAATGATTGATTGACTGTATGAATTGAATTTTACTTTTCAATTGTTTTTAACGAAAGAACGTTCATAGTCGAAATTTTACAGAGTAATTTTCTTTGATTTGCATACAAAAAGGAAGAAATATTGTACAACACAAGCTGAATTGACACATTAGAGGGACTATTTCTACACCACCAATTTGAAGGTGGAGAATAAAATATTTAAGTTAGAAATACAGTATTAAAGTACTGCATTATGACTGACATCAATACTCAATCAAATACTTAAATGAAATTGTGTGCAGCGAACGTCTTGCTGGATTAGTTGCATACGTCTACAGGTTTGAAAGAAGGGAACCACGTACGCCCAGGGAACGTTCTGGTACTGGTAAGCGCGAGCGTTGACCGTGGTGTTGCAAGAGTGCAGCTGGGTTCTATGGTTGGAAGATTACTTGAATGTAGAACTGGGGTCTTAAGAAGATGGGGTGCTCTATGCTACCTCACCCCTCTTCGTGAGGGTCCATTTCATTGTGGGCAGGTTGATTGTCTCCATCATCAGCTGGTTGTTGTAGCGTCTGATGGAGTCACGCAGCCTGCTCCTCCTACTTTCACCAGGCTGCACTCCTTTCGCAATCACGACCTCCTTCGTGAAGGAGTTCTCTTCACGGCTGCAAGCTAGATATTCCGCCCTACACCATTACACTGGCACCGCCCCTTCTGTCTGTTTCATGGTGTTTATTTAAATAAAGCAGCAGCCTGCTAGTCTCTCTTCTTGATGTCTCCAAAATCTCGAGAGAGGCCGTCAAAATGATCGCAGAAAAACTTTGACTCGTGAGAGAAAAGAACTCCATCCAAGTAAAAAAAACAGGTAGCCCTATGAGACGAATTGCCTGTGTAATTTTCATTGACCGCCTTGATCCAAGTCTGGTCGTGTTTAAACACCGTTGTATTGCTGTCTCTATCTTCTCCAGCGTACGTATGAAATTGACTTGCAGTAGAATACCAATTGCAAATGCGGAGACTTGCACAGTTCTAGAGTAATTGTAAAACAAATGGTGGTGAAATAGTGTACGTTTAACGCCCCTATCAACATTATTAGGCTATTTAAGAGGCGGGACCTCCGACTTTAACGTCCATCTCCCAAAGGACCGAGCCAAGTGGTCAAGTACCTTTCCCAAATAAGGGCAAAACATCAGAAAAACCTAAACCTGCAATCTCACGATTACGAGTCTGGTAGCCTAATGCGGGGTGCCCACTACGGCTGGATCGGACCGATCGCCCGACTCGATCGCCTGAAACTGAAAACAAATACATGTACGTTTGTTTTAGAGGTGTCAGAGACATTTCTAAATCTAGGTCTCTGCATATATCTCTCAACTTATTTCTCTCCCTCCCTGTCACTCTCACCACCCTCCCTCTGTAGTGATCCTCCTCCTTCTTCTTATTCGTCTCCGTCTTCCTCTAGGCCTATGAGCGCTCCAAACCCGCTGTGAGAAGTGAGAAGACGGTCAAAGGCGTGAGACCGAAACCGGGAAATCCCGGAGTACCTACTTAATGTAGTCATGGGTCAAAATGGACACGTGACTGAGCCTTGTTGTGATAGGCTGCAAACCACCCGATCGTGCGATTTGCAGGCCAGAAAACAAACGCAGTTTTTTTGTAGGTCGGTCAGTTTGTGCCCTCAATTTGGCTAGAACTGACTACCCGATGGGCCCGACCCGATCCGACCCGACGAGACCTGATCGCGTATGTGGGCACCCCCTATAACCACATGACAACCGGCGCCACCCTGCTAGTCTCTGTCCTTGACGTCTCCAAAGTCTCCCAAGGCCGTCATAGTGATCCAAAGAAAACCTTAACACGTCGGAAAAAAGAACTCCAACCCAGTAGAATACAAGATGCCGAAAGTGACAATTTAGCCGGTTTAAGTGTAATTGTCAGTGTTCATCTTGATCTTGAAAAAAACCCCCAACCGAAACATGCAACTGTTTTTTTTTTAATAGTTTAAAAAACAATGTATTTAAGGTATAATAAATTCGCTAATGTGATGGTCTGAACACATTTTAGACGGTTTCATAATCTGAATGGACTGTGCAGACAAAACAGGTAAATCTGCAGGTGCTTCACGTGATCACGTGGTTAAGATTTTGATAATGAAAAAGATCGGTTCATTTGTTGGTACATGGTAAGTGATGTGGGAAATTTCAGCCAGCAACACATAATAAGAATAAGGGCACAAAAAAGCAAATTAGAAAATTTCTATTGCCGCAGTATATAATTTTGTCCATGCACGTTCATTCAAATAAACACACACACACACGAGGGCTTGTGCATATAAATACATGCATACTCTCTCTCTCTCTCTCTCTCTCTCTCTCTCTCTCTCTCTCTCTCTCTCTCTCTCTCTCTCTCTCTCTCTCCTCCCGCCCCCTCTCTCCCTCTCACAAAATCTCTTTTTCTTGTCTATCTTTTCTTTCAATCTATCTCTAGCTCAAACATGTAAATAATGTGTTTGTGTGTATGTACGTGTGAGTGTGTGTGGGGGTGCGTGTGTGTATATGTGTATGTGTGTGTGTGCACGCGAACGTGTGTGTGTGTGTGTGTGTGTGTGTGTGTGTGTGTGTGTGTGTATGTGTGTGTTATAGTTAGACAGAGAAAGAGAGAGAGAGAGAGAGAGAGAGAGAGAGAGAGAGAGAGTGTGTGTGTGTGTGTGTGTGTGTGTGTGTGTGTGTGTGTGTGTGTGTGTGTAAGAGTGCGTTTGGTGACTAAATCTAATTCATTACGTAGGCGAAATCGACCTTTAGGAAGAGAAATACCTTATTGTTACCACACCAAAAACTAATAAAAATTTTAAAAAATAAAAAACATGGCAAAAACAACAACAACAAAACTAACGAGAAAATGACAACACAACGATTACGCCCCTGCCCTTAATGCAGCACATGTCCTAAAATACAACACATAGTAGAAATATTAGACATGTAGAGACGATAAAGATAATAAGAAAAGAGGGAAAACAACTCAGACACATTTTTTATTAGATTATTCACACACGTACATTACAAGTTTTCTAATGTCCTCCATGTGTATGTAAATTGACTTGCGGAATAAACCTGAGTAAGTTTTTTTTCTCATCTATTGTATATTGGTCATGAAAAAAGAAGTTATGAAAGTTAGCCAAAAGCATAGACCTCTGAACATTTATGTCAGTAAATCATGTCAAAGAGTATAAATACATTGTATCTTAGCAGAATTGTTTTTTTTTGTGGGTTTTTTGGGAAAACGTATCCGTACACAGAAAGATAGAAACAGAAACTAAAAATGCCAGCATCGTTGTCTATCAGCTCGCACATCTTCTATCTCACCCAAAACATCTCCAGGGACACAAAGACTGAAAGAGACAGCTTATCATTTTAATATTTATACCAACATTATGCTACCAGTGCCAGACCCGGACATTAAATAAAACACTCGAAAGCAACATCATTGCCTATGAGATGAAATGTCTCCGCAAAAATCCTTAATTAACATCACAAGACGAGACAAGCAGATAAGTGAAGAAGAGCGACCATTTATACAGAGTCCTGCCTG